CTGCCGACCCTGCGTATTCGATGCACCGACCCAAACAGCAGCTGCTCACAGTCTGGAAACCCAAAACGCGTGTTGGCAGAGATCGCACAGTAGCAGAAATACCGTCGCAGCTAGGCCCCACACATGCTGCCGAAGCTCCAGCTCCAGCCCAAGACGTCCTCGGCAGTGCGGGGCTGATTGCACTCCTTGGGTAAACCAGATAGGGCGAGATGGCCAGCGGAGCCTGCACTTTGTTCCGCAGCTCGCAGTCGCTGAGGTCTCGCAGTGGAGACTGTGTGACTGATCCGTGCCAGGGATCAGTTCGGTGGGCCTCACGGGCATTAAAGCTTATCGTTGAGATGGCGAAGACCATGGGCTGAAGAAGACCCTCGGTTTGCTGCTCACGAGCGGCGCGACGATCGGAACCGCCTGTTCGCGTATCATGCGATTCTCATCCCACACCATGTCCAGCAGTAGCTGTTCCGGACGAATCCAGTACCCGTTACGCTGTAGGTCTGGCTGCATCGTGACCTTTGTATGCCGTGGCAGCTCGCGGAGCAGCGCGACGCTCCGGAACAAGTTGCGTAAACCAAAGTAGCAGCTGCTGCTTTGCCGGATGGCGGACCATGCCGACAGATAGCGGCCGACCACGCACTGGACGAGGTCCTTGAGAGCGCTGCTGGAGGTCTCGGTAGAGATGTGAACTAGGAGCAGGCAAGCGGCCAGTTCAACCATCTGAAAACACAAGCGAATATGCTAGAACAATTCGTTACGAACTGAGCACTAGATCATACAAAAATTGTTGCGCCTTTCAGTGTATGCAATTATGCCGATATCCAGAGCCCTTAAATGTGACGGAACACATATCAGCAAATTTTCTAGTAACCATGAACCAAACGAGCACATGAAGCGAGATATTACGGCACAAGGTATGATAATGAGTCAATACTCAACAGTGAACAAATGGAATATCCATTGATACTTGATGAAGTTTAAACACTCATTGCTATGAATTTGAGAATAATGCGTTTTTATATTTACGTGGCATGTTTCCATGGCCCGATTTGGCGCTGGGCTGTCACGTTTCGGACAGAGCCGTCCTGAACGCCGGAGGATAGGAGGTACAGTAGCTGGTAGTTGGTGCTCAGCTGCTGAATCAGGTCGACCGGCAGGTTTGGCAAGTGCCCCGATCTAGGCTTGAATGCCACAACGTCTAGACCTCTCCGCACAGGTCCTGCCGATGGGTCCAGAAAAAAATCGATCCTGTGGTCGTGCCGTCTAAGCTCAGCAGCAGATGGAGGAGGTTCAGCTAGTTGCCGTACAGCTGGCAGACGAACTAGTGTATGGGTGGACTCGTTGGCCAGCTTAAACGGCCGGAACACGTCGCCTATCGTTTCGGTATTGAAAGCCGTGTCATCGCAGCCGAGCACATTGAGTTGACCGTCGCACTGCGGGCTCACGGAGAGTAGCTCGTTGAACAAGTGCAGTGCGCGGCCGAGCACGGACGTAAAACGAGTCGTAGCGGCTGCTTAGGCTCAGTGATAACAACCACGTGTTTTTCGGCGGCATTCGTCCTGGCTCCGTGTGGCTCATGCAGGTCGTGCCTTCCTGGCCGTCAGAGTAGAGGATGGTCAAACCTGACTCGTGGATTGCTTCAAAATTTTAACGAGCCGTCTTTTTCCTTGCTCTGTATCTTGCGCAGCAGATCTTAGGATCTACAATATTTGATTTCAAGTAGCCAGTCCGCCTCTGCTGTCTTGTTGAAAGGCGTTGATGATGGCAGCAGCGGCCCGGCTCGAGCCACCGTATCTGCCAACCGTCAGAGCGGGGTTGGGCAGACCCCTGACGCTATAATCTACAGTGACAGTGGTCTCAACCGGGACGAACAATCGGCGGCGACGTCACCTTGTACCATCTACGGAACCGTGTAAGAATCCATGCTCTCGGCTGACTCGCCAGCGCTGAAACCACTTGGTCCCGAAGCAGGCTCGGGGTCAACGCTAGCAGCCAGTGCTGGCTCAGCAGGTGGCGCGGGCTCAGCAGTCGGCGGGGGAGACGACTCAGACTCAGCGGCAGACACCGCCTCACTGGCGGCCGAGCCACGACGCCCCTGGAGTTGTCTGGCCATCCTGCGCACTTCGCAAGCCTCCCTAGTCACAATCGTATCGCGGTCATATGACCCCGGAGTAAGCTTCCGGTACCTGCACTGGTCCTTCATGGTAACCTCCTCCTGATACACTGCGCAGGCAACTAGGCATGGAAAGCTGCACTGAGGCTTGCACTGGTATTTCGCGACATTAAGAAGCTTGTTGAATTTCATGGTGGTGGCGTTTCTGTGTCACCCTCTTTCTTTCTTTGATTTCTCGCTGATGGCTCTATTGGGATGATATCAATCCCTCTCCATAAATTTTGTCACGTATTTTAGATCACGAACACAAATCGCTTCGTTGGTGTACAGTGCGCTGATTTCTACCGTCGCGGTCTTGAAGATAATATTAGTGAGATTCCTCTTCGATTCGCTCAGCCACTTGATGTAGCTGAAGGCTTTCCCATAGTCGGCAGTTGGTGGTGGGACAGACGAGCTGGGTGGCCTATTACAAAATGTTTTGTGCACGACCGTGTAGCCTTCGGCATGTTTATGCAATTGTTCGAATGAAATGTTTCAGTACCGGCAAAACTAAACTTATAAGCCCATATCTCCTGCGCAAAAAGTAAATAAATTACAAATCAACATCACAATGATGTGTTATCAATAACAAACTTGAACCTAACCCGGTCTGTTGGGACATTCTCATAACTCTACAGCTTTGGGGTTTACCAAAAACCAATGCCTTTACTAAAAAGTCGGCTTCAAAGCTGTTTGGCAATGCTTTGCTGGTGCTCTTCATCATATCTATTTCACACTTAATCTCCCAAGTACCAGTAGTGTGCAAAGTGGCAGATTTGAGGCTTGTTGGAGGATGATCTCAGTGCGTAAAATAGGTGGCGCCAGTATGGAATGCGCTTTTCTTGACCGATCAAAGAAAAACTGTTCGCCTCACGAATATCAACATTGGTACGGTGCAACAGAATGAAATTTAATAATAAATCAGTGTGCCAAGCAAAAACTTTGTCTCAGCTGATTCCAAGAGATTCACCCCCTGGATGACACACCCTACTGCAGGTAGTCAAATAATTGGTAATTTCCAGTAAGATTCAACGGGCCCGTGCTGGAACTGGGCTGGAGGGCCCACCATTTGGCACGCTGGGCCCTGACTGGCACAAGACTCTTGCATTGCCTTAGAGAGCCCCGACCAACGCAATAGGCCTTCTGTCATTTGGACTGCCGTCCCAGTCCCTGTTGAGCAAGTATCCCCCTGATCAATTCGAGACCTCTTGTTGACACAGAATACCCTGTCAGGCACTGTGGGCCCCTGAACAATAAAGGAGCCCGACAGATGTAAATGGCAGGTCCGGTCTTGATCCTGCTCGGGAAATGGGCTCCAAGAGCTCGGTGCAACACGGAGCCGACAGTTCGTTGTTGGAGATCTCTGGACGAAATAGAGGATTTCATGTTTCAGGGGTCCCTATCGGTGCAAGAGGCCCTTTTACTGACATTCGAGATAAGTGCCGTATGAGTGGGGATCCTTTATGTGACCAACAGACCTTCGGATCCTTCAGCCTTCCAATCGGGTCGTTAACCTTTGGTCTCGAGACACCCTTCGGCCTCTCTTCGAGTCTCCAAACACCGTTCCGACTCGGGACCACTTGCCGTCACAGGGCCCCTGCTAGGCACTATGACCCCTGACCGACACAGGAGCCCTCATTGTGGCAAGAATCCCGAACAATGCAAATCGCGAGCCCCGGCCTCGTCCCTGCTTGAGAAATGGGTCTTAAGGGCTCAGGCGGGCATAAAGCCGACTGTACGGCGTTCGTGATCTTTGGCCGACTTAGACACTCGCATTGTCGCAAGGGTTCCTCAAACGGTGCAAAGGAACTTCTGACTGATATCTCAGGTCACGACCCCACGGGTCGCAGTTCTTGATGTGACCTACAGCTAGTCCTTCAGGCACTTATGCCCTCCAACAGGGCCTTTGATCATCAGTTCCCGCCCCGGGCAGGGCCGCCCGGGCCCCGCTTCGGGCCCCATCCAACACGTCCCTTAGTCGGCTTGGGGCTCTTGCGAGTACAGTACTCTCTGTTAGGAGATGTGAGCCCCTGACAGATACAAAGCCCCCGACCAGTGTAAACCACTGGCCCAGGTTTTATAGCTGGTTAGGAAGTTGGTCCTCAGGCCCATACCGACACGGAGCCGACTATGCGGTACTGGCGGTACCCGACCAACATATAGAACCATATCAACTCAGGCCGTCACCGATCGAACAAAAGGGCCATCTGACTAATTTGAGGGCCTGTTTCCGCATGCCGCGGCCCCCTGGATAAGACTCCGACCAGCCCTTCGTGGCCTTAGACTCCCCAATCGGTTCCTTGGTTGTCGGAACCGGTGAGCACCCTAGGCTCTTTGGGCCTTCTCGAACAATGCCTCCTGCCGACTCGACCCCTTGCCATCATAGGGTTAGGCGCTGTTGGGCGCTGAGACGCTGCGGCACCGACCAATGTAAATCGCTAGCTCCGGCTTTGTCCTTGCTTGGGAAATGAGCCCTCAGGCCCATGCCGCCACGGAGTTGGCTGTGTGTGTCCGGTGGTGTCTAACCGACATATAGGCCCTTATCGACTCAGGGGGCCCCTGATCAGCGCGCAGGGCCCTCTGGCTGGCACTAGAGTGCACGGCCCTGCGGGCCGGGCCCCTTAATGGGACCTCCAAACGGCTTTTCGGGCCCTTCGCGCCCTCAAAATGGGTTCTTGATGGCAGATTCGGTAGGTTTTTATTAATAGATGCCAAAAAGGGGGATAACCCCGGCCGACGATCTCCTAAAACACAATTGTGTTTTTGAAATGGCGCATGTTTGATTTCCGACCACCACGCATGCGCCGTTGAGTTCGTCTGAAATAAATCGAGTGCGTTGGTTTTGTCGCATCGATAGCTGGCTGAAGGTTGTCTTTGGACTTGCGCCGACGAAATGAATACTGACAGTGCCCGAACGAGATAATGACAACTGCCTGGTAGTGAAATTAATGACCAAGTTTGCTGTTAACCTTCTGTTTTGCTCAAAACTGCCACAGAGCCTGCATCTTCGAAGGTCGTAAGTCGTAAGCTTTGATAATTGCTCACAAAGTTTGTTACAGTGTATACAGGTCATGTCTGTTTTGAATTCACGTGGAGCATTTTTTGTGAAAATAACTTGTGCTGAATTTGGTAGACGTGGTTACTTTTGCTCCTGGGGTCACAAATCAAAGTGCTTTAGTATGGGTATGTTGCCAAAATGTCTCTCGCCATGGATTCTAACATGGGTTATGCCAAATATGGGCCAAAAATCATGGGTTCTTCTTAGCTGTTCCACTTTGAATATGTTGCCTTGCAGCAACGTCCAACCAAACCACAAGAAATACATGTTATGCCAAGGGTGCAAAATGGTCACAGTGTTCAGCATGCCCTAAAATTCCAATAGACAACAACAGGTGCCAAATGTGTCAGGTGTAGCAGTGACATGCCAATAATTTCAGTGCATGTACATTCCGAGTTGGCTTGCAGTCAGCATCAAGTCCAGTGGATAGAAAGCCAATGTTTCAAGGAATATTGGTGTTGCAAAATCAATTTTGGGCCAAAAAATGCTAGAGAGTTAAAACCAGAGGAATACATGAAACCCAGCACAGTTTTTCATGGCTTGAGCTTGATGGACTCAAATTTTAGCTGAATGGTGTTGCATAGTCATCAAGCATAGTGATTGAAATTTTTGCCAATGGACGTTCCAGCAGCAGTTAGGCTGTTTCTCAGACATCAGCGTCTAGAGCGGAATGATTTCCAGATTTTGGTGTTCAGTATTTTCACAGCCAGCCTTCCAGTCTTTCTGGTAAGGCACCTTTAGAAGAGAGCACCACCTTTCAGATAATGCTTTGCCTAGCTTATACATGCATGGAAGTTAAATGCAGACCAGATATTGATTTGAACCAACATAAAGATAAGCCATATTTGTCTGAAATTGCTATCAAGGACATAAAGATTATTTTCACATCCTGCCCACTGTCATTGGAGGAATTCCTGGTTAGGGTATCACTGTGGACTGAATTTAAGATAAATTAATGAATTTGTCATTTGTTATTGATTATCATGATTGCTTTATATAGGTGACTGGGAATTTTAACTTTCTGTAAAAACTGTTTTGCTGGAGCTAAAAGTACCAGTGAATATAGCATATTTGTTAATGTATTGCTGCCTTGAAAATCAATATGCCACGCCACACACATTTGTCCACCCTAGCTCAGTTGGGTAAATCACCTGCATACTTATCTGTCCACCCATAGTGGGTAGTTAGGTAGAGCACATGTATTCCAGTGAATCCACCCACAATGGGGTGGGTTCATGTTGCTTTAGGTCATCACTGTTTGTTCATGATGGGTATAGCTGTTGGCAGTGGCCACACTGAAATTTAGGTGATTGCAGATGGCAATATGGCCAGTGGCAAGTATTGCAATTTGTTAATGTATGTAAAAATGTTCAAAACTTATCTTTTGCTACCAAGTTCTGCTGTTGACCTGTAATTGCATGATCATATGGTGGGAGTTTGCTCATACAACAAAGGCTGCTTAGAATGAACTCCAGGCAAATAAATCTTTTCATTAAAAATGTTTGGATTAAATAAAAAAAACATCAGATGGTGTTATTCTGGTACAAAAAGAACCATCTAAGTGACCCAAGCTCTTCTACTGCTGACAAGCCCTCTAGAAAATCAGATATATCCAAATGGCCCTTGCTTATGATGTAAATGACCCGAGCCAATGAAGGGGTCCTCTGAAAGATGCTTTCAGGTCCTGGTTTTGTTTCAGCTTGGGAATGGGCTCCCAAGCCAGCACAGGGTCAACTGTTCTTGTTTATTTCTGACGTGCCTAGTAACTGTCATAGTCCCAGGGACTTCATTTCATGCAAGGGGCCTTCCCATGACATTCTATATCCTTTAAAGGAAATTTTCCTCATTTTATGGGGTTTTGAACTGAGATGGACACTTTAAAGATCATTTAATGCAGTTTGCAACCCTGCCCTTGTTAAAGGCATTCTTACCTTGGTTTCTGAGCCAGATGTTTGCAAACCCCTACAGAGTATTTTCTACAGGCTTTCAAGGCCATTGAGGTACGCATAATGCCAGAAATGTCATGCAACTACTACCACTGTGTGGGTCGTGCGATGCTCAAGACCAAGATACATAAAATTCCGAGTATTTCGTGTCTGGTGTACATCGACACGATCTCGAGCACCAACCCGCTCCACTTGCTGTCGAGCAACGCTGCGCGTTCAGTTCAAGTTTCGACCGCGAATCACGTTTTGTTCTACATACATGGTGCTGGACAGTGTTAATAGTTATGAAGGAGATCATACTGGAAATCAAATAGCTTCAGAAAAGTGCCATAACCAAGCATCTGAATGCAAGTAAAGAAAGTGAAATGACGGACTAGTATGGAATAACACCATAAGGTGATATTTTTTAATAGCTCAAAATGTAGGAGGCATTCTCTTGAAAGACAGGTTTTCCATTTGGCATGGCTATTTGACAAAATTATTGTAGGTGCCTCATGATTGCATTGTCTGACTGTGCTTTGACCACATCAGATGTGTTAGAACGCACAATAAATTAAAATGTTCGTGCTGTGCGGCACGCGAGAACCACACTTAGCATCAGATCGGCTGGCGGTGCTCCGCGTCACAGATGGACCAGGAGTACGAGCGGCGCCTGACCCGTACGCCGAACCGGCCGTCGCTGGCCTCGCCGGCCAAGCTAACCAGCCCGGCCGCCTCGCCGGTCAAGTCGCCGACCAGCTCGCCGCACAAGGAGCGCTACGGCGACCGCTTCATCCCGGCGCGCGCGGGCGCCCGCTGGCACATCAACTTCAACAACGTCCAGGTGCGACGGCCCCCGCCAGATGCGTCTCCCGGGATGCCACGACTGTACGACCCCGGCCCCACGATATGTGGCTTCCGTGATGTATGCATTGCCGGTGTTCCCAAATTCATCCATAAGGGTGGGCAGGATAAAAACGTGAGTGCATGCCATTAGATTCCGAACGTAGACATCCGGCCTGTCCGGCCCATTGCATCAAGCCTGAGGCACTTGATGCTGACCTGACCGCCGCCCGGCGCAATGCTAATGGACCGTATTTGAGCGGGGGCAGACAGGGGGGGGGGGGGGGGGCAGCAAGCAAAAGCCGCAACCCCAAGCCGGTGGTCTAAAAGCATCACAAATTTAAATGTCCCTGCCACCCAAGTGACCAAATATTGAAACACTACATTACTCATTGGACACTGCTTGTCTAGCAGTAAGCTCACGGCCAAATTGTGACCGATACCTTCGACCGTCTTACCGCACCGCGCTCTCCCTGTAGGAAAACGCCCGATCCATTTATGCGGCGCGAAAGGCGCGTGACAACGAGTCGGGCAAAGATGGCCTCGCTTACACCTGCCTGCTGAAGAATGAACTGCTGGACGCGGGCATCGACGACTTGCGCCTGCAGGAGGACGACAGCAGCCGGCGCGTGCTCTCGCCCGCCCAGTCGCAGAACATGTTCCACGTGAGTATGGCCCAGGCCCGATGCGACGTTTGCCCTCCGCCTCATGTTTAGCGGCATCGCTGTGTTATGCTGGCGCGGCGTACGGTATCGCTGCATTTCTGTCGGGATGGCCGCTTATGGGTGCATATTGCCCGTGTCTGATGCAATGACAATGCTGAGAACGCCATGGATGATCCGTCAGGAGTGACCACTGCCGTAACGGCATTGCTCGTGTGAAGGGTTTCAGTTACAACGTGCCCGTGCCAGTCAGCATTGTGAGGCCAATTGTTTGCGAGGGCTTTCATACCCTTGCTGACGCTGATGTCTGTCGGGTACCATACATCGGTGACCCCCTGATCCGCCGCCAAGTATGTGTGTTTACGTGTGCCCAGTACCGGTCCCGCCGGACGCAGCTCTGCGAGCCCTGCTCGCCCTACTCGCTCTCGCCGGTCAGCAGCCCCAGCCAGGCCCTGCTGCGCTCACCGCGCAAGGCCGTCCGCAAAATCTCCAAGGCACCGTTTAAGGCGAGTGCATGGAGCGGCTGCACATCGTGCTAGACGTGTTCAGGAAATGCGCTGGATGTTTGGATGCCCTTTTTACAAATCCAACTCGCTGTTGTTAAGCTGCACGTTGTGTTAGGCGTCTTCAATGAATGTGCTGTAGGTATGGATGCCCTTTTTACAAATCCAGCATGCTGTTGTGAGATGAAAGTTGTGCAGGCCCATCAGCTGCTGAAGTGCTGATCACTATGGTGTTGATAGTATGTCCGTTCGGTAGTTTGCTGGACACCAGGGTAGCTTTTTGTAGTGATGTATCTAGCGTCGAAAGATCCACTAATGGTGGCGTGCCGAGTTCGCTGGCTGGCGGCGTCGGCTGCGCGGCGCGGCCGACGCCCCGCTGTCCGTGACCTGACGCTGGACCCGCGCGCTGACCGGGCCCGCGGTGCCGCAGGTGCTGGACGCGCCGGACCTACAGGACGACTTCTACCTGAACCTGGTGGACTGGTCGGCGCTGAACGTGGTGTGTGTCGGTCTGAACCACTGCGTGTACCTGTGGTCGGCCCACACCTCCCAGGTGACCCGGCTCTGCGACCTGGCCGTCGATGGCGACTCGGTCACCTCCGTCTCCTGGAACGAACGGGTGAGGGCAACCGGGGCGCGGAGCACTCAGCCTGGGGACGTGACGGTCCGCAAGCGGCTGCCGAGGCAGTCTGGGGACGTGACGGTCCTCAGGCGGCTGCCGAGGCTGTCTCTCAGCCTGGAGACGGGACGATCCTCAGGCGGCTGTCGAGGCGGTCCCTCAGTCTGGGGACGTGACGATCCTCAGGCGGCTGCCGAGGCTGTCCCTCAGCCTGGAGACGTGACGGTCCTCAGGCGGCTGCCGAGGCGGTCCCTCAGCCTGGGGACGTGACGGTCCTCAGGCGGCTGCCGAGGCTGTCCCTCAGCCTGGGGACGTGACGGTCCTCAGGCGGCTGCCGAGGCGGTCTGGGGACGTGACGGTCCTCAGGCGGCTGTCGAGGCGGTCCCTCAGCCTGGGGACGTGACGGTCCTCAGGCGGCTGCCGAGGCTGTCCCTCAGCCTGGGGACGTGACGGTCACCAGGCTGCTGCCGAGGCTGTCCCTCAGCCTGGGGACGTGACGGTCACCAGGCTGCTGCCGAGGCTGTCCCTCAGCCTGGGGACGGGACGGTCACCAGGCTGCTGCCGAGGCTGTCCCTCAGCCTGGGGACGTGACGGTTCTCAGGCGGCTGCCTAGGGTGTCCCTCAGCCTGGGGACGTGACAGTCCTCAGGCGGCTGCCGAGGCGGTCCCTCAGCCTGGGGACGGGACGGTCCTCAGGCGGCTGCCTAGGGTGTCCCTCAGCCTGTGGACATGACGGTCCTGAGGCGGCTGTCGAGGCTTCCTTCAACCGGGAGACGTGAGGGCTTGTTTTGTTAGGAAGGGGAGGGTGGGGGCCTCTGGAGTCGTAGTTTTGTGACGGGGGATACCACCTGCAGCATACCAGAAATGTAATAGATAGTGGTTCGGGTCCTGGTTATGCCATGGGCCTAGTATGGCCAGTGTAGCTGCTGGCATTACATCAAATGGTGCGTGACGACGCGCGCCGCGTTGCTTTTTTGGACATGTGAGCGTGAATCAAGCATCGAGCGAAAAGTTTGTGGTGGTTTATAATTTATATCATAAGCACACGACCTTCTATGCACCATGTCCTCACTGTTGCATGTTTCCCACCATAAACACACACACATAACTTTGGCCCCTAGTAACGTCTGGTGTCGTTCGCTGTCACCGTGGCCCATGCCCCGGCCGACGACGCCACTGACCGGCGGCTACTTCGCCAGGGTAACCTGGTGTCGGTGGGCACCAACAAGGGCTACGTCCAGGTGTGGGACGTGTCGCAGGCCAAGCGGCTGAACCAGCTGGCCGGGCACACGGCGCGCGTGGGCGCGCTGGCTTGGAACGGCGACACGCTGTGCTCGGGCAGCCGGGACCGGGTCATCCTGCAGCGGGACGTGCGTCTGCCCAGCGCCGTGCCGGAGCGCAAGATGACCGGTCACCGCCAGGAGGTGGGTCACGCGGGCTCGGCCCGCCCGCCGCCCGCAGCGGCAGGATCCACCGCGGCGCGCTTCGGGTAGATGTCGAGGGTGCGGCTGGTGATTTAGCTCTTGGTTTAAAATGCTCGTGCACGACCTCAGCGAGGTCGTGTGTGTGTGGGGGGGGGGGGGGGAATCCCAATGTGGGGGACCTCAGGTGGGGGGTCCCGATGGAGGAAAGGCTTTGTATGTGGTGTGACTTTTGGCTTCGGCCGTCGATCTTCGGGTATACGTCATCTCTGTCGTGGGAACATTTCACAAATTGCGTGCCATGGAACAGATTATATCGACCAAGACTGGAGAGGCTGTAGGCGTTGTTGTCAGAACGTGAAATACACGGCTAATGTTTTGTTCCCACACCAAGAAACACATGTATGCATTGAGGAGCGTGTGGGTAGTGTTTTGAAAAACAGCCCTGCATAATGTGGTCTTCTGGATAAATGTCGTGGATGGATGCCGGTTCTGCAAGAGTACCTCTGGGTGCTCGCTGCGAAGCGTAGCAGCCGATTGTGACGGACGCCGCCATTGTCTTCCGCTTCGGTAGGTGTGCGGCCTGAAGTGGTCTCCTGACAACCAGTGCCTGGCCTCCGGAGGCAACGATAACAAGCTGTACGTGTGGAACATGCACTCGACTACCCCGGTGCAGACCTACACGGACCACGTCGCCGCCGTCAAAGGTGAGCCGCGCGCCCATCTCTGCGCGACGACACCCGCTGGGAGGCACGCGCCGACCGCGGCATGTCTGCTTGCGTCGTCCGCAATTCCGCGGCAAACATTGTGAGACCATATCCGGACACACGCCCTTTGCTGACGGTTCGGCTACCTTCAGCGGCGTTATAAATAGTCCGGCGCTGGTCCTCCTACAAAAGGCGTCGCCACAATCTGGGTGTACAGACCCAACCTCCTGCTCCCGTCCCGTTGTAACATCTCGGCCCTGGCAATGGTACGCAGCGACATTTCAGCCCCGCTTGGGAGCCTGGACCTACACAACACGCCACTTTGCCGTCCCGAGGTTGCGCAATACGTGACCTCATAGTAACTGGCATGCAGGTGCCGCCCTTATCATTTTAGATTGGAATGTGAAAACTTCCTATCGACTTGGTCGTTTTATGACACCCATGTTTGGGTGATTGGAGTTCATGGTCCGTCAATGGGCTGAGTGGGTAATCGGTGCGCCCCGTGTCGTGCGGACTAGATGACGTGGTCCGTGAATGGACTGGTGATCGGTCCGCCCTGTGTCGCGCTGACTGGGTGGTCATGGTCCGCAGCTATCGCCTGGTCGCCTCATCAGCACGGCCTACTGGCCAGCGGCGGCGGCACGGCCGACAAGTGCATCCGCTTCTGGAACACGCTCACAGAGCAGTCCATGCAGTGTGTGGACACCGGCTCGCAGGTAACAGTGGCCCTCCTTCCAGCCGGCCAGCCCTGCGTCCGCTGGCTCGCGGTCTCTTCCACTCAGCCCCTCTGTCACATCACTGAGCTTGTGATCCAGTGCCGTTTGTGAGCCAAATCTCCAAATTGGCCACCGTCTTATTTGACCAGCTCGTGGCGTGCTTACCCTTTCCCCACGCCAAACTTATCAACGGAACTTGGATCGGCACCGTCTGTGTACGTGTCGCGCCCGGGCTGTACCGCCCCTCCTGACCACTTGCCGTGAACGTGTCCCGGCAGGTGTGCAACCTGTCGTGGTCCAAGCACGCCTCCGAGCTGGTGAGCACGCACGGCTACTCCCAGAACCAGATCCTGGTGTGGAAGTACCCGGGCCTGAGCCAGGTGGCCAAGCTGACCGGCCACACGTACCGCGTGCTGTACCTGGCCATGTCGCCGGACGGCGAGGCCATCGTCACAGGCGCCGGCGACGAGACGCTCCGCTTCTGGAACATTTTCAGCAAGGCGCGCAGCCAGAAGGAATCCAAGTCGGCGCTGAACCTGTTTACCAGCATCCGGTGATGACCTCCGGCGCTCGGCCAAGCGGCGCCCGGCCCACGCGCTATTTATACCAAAGCCTATTGCGACGAAAGAACCTATTTTTGACTGTTTTGCATTCTGGAACAATCACATTGTGTTTATTTATGTTCGTTTGCGTGGGGGCGTTGGTGTGCGTTCGAGAAGTGTTTGTTTCGTTAGCCGAGTACTGTAGCTTTAGTTAGCCGGCGGTACGGGCGGAGCGCCGCTATCGACTCCCGGCGAGATCTGGCCCGGCACTGGCGGACGGCTGCGGCCGCGGCGCCCCGCCCCTCTCGACCCTGTGCTGGATCGCACCGTCAGGCGGCGCGTGAGCCGAACGCAGCAGGCGCGGGCCCCGACTCGTCTCACGTCGGCGGCCGTCGCGCCTCCGGGCGGCCGGCCGGCTCGCTGCTGTGGCGGCCGGCCGGCTCGCTGCTGTGGCGGCCGCGATGCCGCCTGCTGCTCACAGGGTGGACGGAAGTGACAATGTCCGAAGGTCGGGAGGGCGGGTGCGCCGCGTCGCCACGTTCAGCTGCGTTTGTGCGAGATCGAGTTTGGACGTCCGACCGGAACTGAAGCTGTAACCGATTCCGTAATGCCGGCGGCGACCACCGCGTTCGACATCAGTTGGGTATCGATTTGCGGGGCGTCGACGGCTTCACCGTGTCGACTTGGTGACCGATTCACGAAGAGGCACCTGCTGCCTCTCTTTCGACTTCGACCGGTCCGTTTTCGAACCGCACGCAACGAAGTGAGGCGTGATTAGTGTCGGGCTGCGGGTCCCGACAAACTCACGTGCAATGGCCGGCCCTCTATCGAGGGGAGGACCTAGTCACGTCTTCTCGAACTACGCTGTTGGCCCCTTGCGGGCATGCTCTCGGCGTGCCGTGCAATGCGTTCGTGTTGGGGCGGCAGGCTCGGCGCGCGTCTTTATTCTCTGCCTGTCTGGAAGATGGGTGAATTACTCCGACGAAATTCGGGAGGGCCTGCATGTGGGTGATGCGTGTTGGATGGTTCCTGTCGCTCGTTCAGAGATGTGGCCGCGACTACGCTCTTGGGAAATGGCGTGTGTCTGTCGCTTTATATTGCTTCCTTGCCTAGCAAATCGACACAGTTCCGGCATGATGTAGTTGTTTCTGGTGGCCTGATGCGTTGTTCGGCTGAACGAGACTGAATATTACATTAATCAAGCTGCAGCACCAATACATCGGATGTGCATCACAACCTGTTCGTGCGCAGTAGACGTGTGTCGTCACGCACCGCATAGGCACCCGGCAGCAGACAGCACGAGCATCCCGCCTGGACAGTCGGGTGTCCGTCTGTGGCCCACACGATTGGAGCGTACCAGCGGGGCGCGTGGAGTTCGACGTCGTCTCCCAAACGCTTGTCGGGTGACTGACGGCCTGTTGTCTCCCCTTGCCGATGGAGGGCGTCGGTCAGCCTGCACGCCAGCCGGCGTCCGGCTGGTGCGGCGAACAGCCCTGCACGCCGTCCAGCCATCTCTGCCGTTAGCAAAAAAATACCACGGTCCCAGTAGTGCGTCAATACACCGACTACCGCGTTCGATGGGAAGATGGCGGCGAACCAGCGGCGGCCAACTCAGCCGTCTCCAGAGTCTTGCACCGCCTTCAAAGTCCACTGCCCGACAGCCGCTGGACCGCCGTATGCTCTGGTTCTTCGCACCGCGGCCCAGAATGATCTTGACATGCCGTTATAGAGCGGTGAGCGGATTGTAGCATGTGGGCACCCTGGGACCGCGTGCAGCTGTTGTGCACGGTGGCGGCGTGCCCTCGCGTCGAAGGCTCTAACAGACTGACCTAAAGACTATCGCTATCGACGGAACGAATGGATTTGCCAGATAACTGTCTTGATGACCACAGTAGTGCCGGAACTGGATCGTTTAACGCCAATAAAGATGTAAGGGGATGGGTGCACTTACACTAACGGTGTAAACAACCGCGTCCCGGGGCTTCGGATGTCTTGACATTGTTGGGGAGTTGCAGATGCATCCCAGTTGTCAAACCCTTGCAATAAAGGAGTCTCGATATCACGTGCCCCTGGGTCCTCTTGATTTTGAGATTCGGCGGGCCCGATCGCCCCCATGGCGTTGAACTTCTCGTTGATCCCTGTTATCGCCTAGATCTCTATGACGGATCTCTGCTGATATTCTTGAGACCGGCTGTCTTAGGAGCATTTACATATGCACCCAGCGCGACGCTTAGCGGCCAGGCACGCTGTATTGTGCGGGATTTAGGGTAGAGTATCCTCAGGGGCGTAGTTTTGCAAAATGCGTTGGGGTGAGGGTGTGAGGGAGGGCTGAGTAGTGAAAAAGGCTTAACAGACTCCTAAATATGTCTTCAAACAGGTTTCTCGCCCAGGAATTCTGCCCACTTTTTTCTCCTATGTTAAGGGCGTACTGAATCACAGGAGCACCCCAAAACGAATAAGAAACTACACCCCAGTCCCCTCCCCCAACTAAGTCGACGAAATTTAGCGCCGTTACAAGCCATGCATCACTACAGGCGTTGTTTTGATTTTCCAAAGTGGCGAATGGGCGGTATTTTCCGGGGAACATGGGCATACACCCCTCATTTCCCCATGGGAAGCTGTTATGGCTGCTCGCAAGGGAGTTTAACGAGATAGTGCTGAGTAAAACTGTACCCCCATCATGGTGTATCTTTATGCAATTCTATCGCCTAAAATATTTTTTGGGTCTTTCAAAAATATTTTGAGATGATTTTCATAAGTAAAATATAGCTTTTGTGGCGTAAAGTGGGTGTTTTTTGAAAGACCTTCGATGAGCCGATGCAGTTGGATTGTGTTCTTCCATCCCTACATTGCCGCCATACTCTCTCCCTTTCTCGCCGCAGGATGTGTGGTGCATGGGAGTAGAGTGGTTGAATGTGGTTCTTCACCGATTTAGTGATTTATGTTCATTTGATTTCCCTTATTTCTAGAAGTTCATCACTCCTGATATGGCGGGTGAGTTGCTGTTCCATCCTGGAGATGATCCCAATATTCCGGCGTGGATTGTTTTGCGACAAAAGCGCATTAGTACGTGGGAACCGGATTAGTTGAGGGAAGTTCGGATTGGTTACTGGTTGAACGCAGTAGGAAATGTTCATATTTTATGATATTTGGTGTTAAAGATCTTTGCTGGAAGTTTTGGGGGGATTAATTCATGGGAGGCAGTTTCAATGCATAGGAATGGCTCTGTGGAATGTCTGGTCCAGTGGTCGGGCGTGCCGGACTGAAATCATGTTACACCGCATTTCCGGCGTAGCAGCGACAGCTCAGTAAAAGTTTTATTGCATTTTGGCTTTTAAAAGATTGATTAGAGTTTGGTGCATAGGCACTTCCAATTGTAGAGCTTAGGCAGCCATCAAATTATGCCTAAAGTTAATTTCAGGCAAAATTAGTAGAAATTTATTGAGGAACTTAGAACAAGTTAGGCTGACCTGTCTTTGTTGTGTATGAGTCCAAGATTCAGCAAATGCTAGTGTGAGGTCCAGTGCGTGGATGTCACAGACTTCAGGCATTGTGGATGGAAGTTTTTATTCATATTTCTGAAGGATGGTTGGTGTGCATTAGATGCCTAGTTCTGGTTGTTCTGGATTTCAGCAGGCTGTGTCAGTGTTGAGGTGTACTTTGGGCTTGATGGTGTTCAGCTCCATGTTCAGCGTGCTGACACCTTGCTGGTGCTCCAGTTAGTGCCTAGAGAAGTGGATGGATTTTGGCAATGTTATAAGTAAGGGTATAATGAGGAGTATAGTTAGGATTAGAAGTTTGTGAGAAGGTTGTGATGATGGTAGAAGACTGGCTGGGTTATGTTTATGTGTAAGCCTGGCAAAATTGAGCAGAAAATGAAGATGTATAAACACAGGTTGTGATTTTCTCAGTTTGACTACATCATGTAGGCATTCAGTGTAATGGATGTATTTTGTGTTTTTGCAAAGTAGAAAGTAGGATATCATTTGGAGTACAGTTGGATTAGGGGATTGTTAGATAAGGTTTGTGATGGTTGGATTTGTAGTTAGATATTTCAGGGGCTAGGCCTGGATAGGTTAGGTTAGGAATAGCAATGTGAAAGAATATTTCATGTTTAACATAGGTTGTACTGTTCTCCCCCCAGTGATAACTGTATCCTTTATTAAAGAAAATTGCTGTTTCCAGCCTGCCACATCAGCAAGGTGGAGAAAGTCTGGATCGACATGAACTTTTGCACTCATTTCTGCACTCAATCATGGAAGTCTTATCTTGTTCAACTTATATTGTTATTTCTTACACTCTACAAAAGATGGAAAAATAGGCAATGGGGTAAAAAAGCATAGGGGTCCTGATTTCATGAAAATGTTTATATTTATAAAATAACCACTAACAAAATAGCTATGTACAGTATTCTTATATACCATATTGTGTTAAACATTATTATGCATCTAACACACTGTAATCAGGATAGGGAAATTCAGCTTTAGTTTTGTCTAGGAACAGTTCTGTCATCACTTCTGGGTCCACTTTGAGTTATATGTCTCGTGAAGTCATTAGCATGGTCTTAAACTACAATGTTTAGCCGTCTTTAATAACTGGCTGGCTTTAGTATTGAGTTTTGGCATTTTTGACTGCTGCTTCTGTTTCACATGATCTTAAACAGCCAGATGGCTTGGGTCATGTCATGATGGTGAACTACAGGAACTCCTGCCCATCCTATCACTGCAGTATACCACACATCTTTTATGTGCTGTGAAGCATACATGGCTGCAAGCCACAACTACTGATCATTCTTAATGCCAGGTGACAATGGCTGGTAAAATGTCCAAAATGTCTGGACATCCTAAAACCCAACATTAAGATAACATAACCAAATATCCAACTGTTCATTGACCTGTCCAGTCACCTTGTAAAACCTGGAGATATCCTCCAGTGCCACAGGTAAAGCATCCATACAAGTTGTTTGGGGTTTGGGAAACAATGTTACACACTATGTTGAGCTTGAACCTTGTTTTTTAATTGACTTGGTTCAGTGTTGGTTTATTGTTTTCTAAATTTGAAGCTGCAAAGGTCTTCCCATATATGAATGTGAATGTTGAAGCCACTAGCTCCAAATTGGTATTCAGGTTTTGAGGGTATAATACCATTTGCTTCAGCTACAGATTCACAGCTCCAAGCTTCAAAGCCATTGGCTTTAACTATGGCTTTGTCTCTTTGTCTGGGCATTGATTTAAATGGAAGCCCAGGAGTTTTGCTTCATCTCCATGCTTGGTTCAAGCCTATATATTAAATTTCTCTGACTTGTATCCCAGGCATACTGAATATTAACTTTATGTGTGTGATGTGTGCTGTGTTACCATGTGCTAATCATGCACTATTTAGTATCTATGCATGTGCTTGCATGCATTATGAAATGTTGAAGATCACAGGGAACAAATATAGCACACTACATTTTTGTGATATATTCAATCCAGGTTCTAGTGAAAACAGTAACTTGTGTTGATTTTATTATTTGAAGTGCATTTCTCAGGGTCATGAGAATATGCATGTAGAGAGTTAATCTTGATCTCATGGCATATCTTAAGAAACCTAAATGAATGCTAAATATGTACCTGGTTCCTCTTTGCTATGAGTGGGGACAAAAACTGACTAACTTATTTTTTGGCATGGAAGTAATTCTTCACAATGCTGCATGAAAAAGTGAGCAAATATTGTTCACAAATATTAAAAAATATATATTATATATATAGAATATTATATATATTATTTTATATTATATATATATATATATATATATATATATATATATTATATATATATATAAATATTATAAAAAATATTCATCACAAAGTAATGTGAAGCAATAATATTTGACAAATGACCAGTGCCAGTAGCTTACACTAGAGCAACCAAAAAGATGTGTCAGTGATCAGTGAGGTGTGGTGGTTAGTAAGGGTTACTGGTTTAAATTGCTTATTGCCTCCCCATTTTAAGGCTGTGTGTACACAATTTCTGGAGGGTGTGTTACACTGACCAAGCTTTGTGTCATTCAAAATAGGTGGGCACATGAAGCATTTTAATGAGCATTTGAAAGCCACTCAGGAATGAATGCCAGGAGCAACTCCAGAGCAGCACACAAATAAACAGCGACTGCAACTCCAGAGAAACTGCATCCCCAGAATGCTAAAAAAGAAACATTTGACACTACTTGGAGGGGATGTGTCACTCATACATGCCACTGTCAGCATGTCATTATTCATTCAAAGTATCCATATCATATATGTAAGGATGCAGCAGATTTAAAAATTTGGATGTCACCCAGAATCCAGAACCAATGTCAGAAACACCCTAATGTCCTCATGGTTGGTTATTGCCCCTATGTCTTACGCCTTTGCACCAGGGTTTTTCTAGTGTATGACGTTGTTAGCTGTTATCTGTGTCCTAGGTATGCAGGTATGACATGAAAAAATCAGCATGATAGAAAATAGTGAAGCTATAAAAGTGAGTTAGGCATCATTGAATGATACAGTGTGCATTGCTTTGTTGCTTTTGGTGATAGGTTCAAAAGAAGGCTTGAAGACATTATTCCCTTAGTCATGCATTGTTTGAAACATTGCCATCAGGCAGAAACCCAGTGACATAAACATTGGTGGCTATCATCAGTACCAAATGTGCAGTGACATTGCCCTGTTCAGATTGAATATCTGACAGCAGGCATGGGCTACCACTCTATGCACATGAAATACTGCTACCTCAGTCTTAATCTCACTTTGTGGGCTAGAGATTACTCTAAACTCATTGTTTATGATGTCCTTGGGGTGACCTAGTTGCATTTTCCAGTGACATGTGGTCATAAGTAGTGTCATGGATGCACTGCATGACATTTTTGTGATAGCACCAAAAAATGGCCTCTTCCTTTGGTTAGCAGGCATATATTTTCCAGTCATCATTGCCCAGCTGGATTGGAGGGTTTTCACTTCACATGCTGTTGCAGCATCAAGATACCTCTGTGTAATGACATTTTGTTTAATTGCAGGGTGTGTTGGAATTCCTCAATGGTGTTTCTCCCAAGTGAAAGGAACCCTTGAAGATGAAATTCATGATGGTAAGTACTGTGATGAGCTGTGTGTGTTTGCGTGATGCACATGTAAAGGCTTGCTGTTTCATGTCAAACTCAGGAAGTTTATGTGACTAACCAATGCATGAGGGAGCTTTGTGTTTGTTTTGGAGTCACATCAGAGAAAGATCGGAGTGGAGAAAGGTGCAGACTGCGCAAGCCCATTTTTGTCTTGTTGATTTGTCAGTTGAAAGTGGTGCCTAAATCATTATCTCATAAGTGGATATAATGTTTATTTTTATGACAGAAAAGTCAGACATTTTCCTTTTGCTCAGACTATACAACCACATTATTCTGTGTTGCAAAAAAGCTAATTTGTAGTGACTGATCAATATCCTGCATGAGGTAAATATAAATAGGAGGCTCTGCCAGGTTTTTGTCTTATGTTCTGACTGTAAGGAAATGCTGTAGCAGCTACTGGCATCCAATCCAATGGTACTTTGAATACAGTTTGTGTTGGGCACATTTCTATATCAGGTGCGGTGTCGGGAAGCTTGCTCTGTCGCCGCACTGACTCGCTGTCCCACGTGAGAGCTCAGAGGGCGTGCCGAGTGTCCGTACCTATGGACTGTACAGGTGTGGTGTGGAGAGCTTGCTCTGTTGCCGCGCTAACCCGCTATCCCACGTAAGAGCTCAGAGAGCGCGCCGAGTGTCCGGATTTGTGGACTGCACAGGTGTGGTGCGGGGAGCTCGCTCTGTCGCGTTAGAGCTCGCTCTAACCCGCTGTCTCTCGTGAGATCTCACAGAACTCGCCGAGTGTTCATACCTGTGGATCGTACTGAAATAGACTGTGGGCGCCGTATATGCAGCCAAACTGGGCTGATGATAAAAGCTGTGATTCCCATGACCTGTCTGCCGCCGTGCTGTGTAACATACATCATTGCAGACTGGTTAGTGAATATTACCAGCTGGGTGCCGCGTTCGCGCTCCTCAAGAGTCAAGTGTCAAGCATGAGGTGCAGACTGCCTCTTTGTTTTGGGGATTTTCTTTAAATGCGGATTCGGAAGAGGAAGTGATAAAAGACTGAATGAAAAGCAATCTTGTTCGCTAGTTCGCGTACAAGTCGCGATTCACCACCTTTGGCACGTAAGGGAGTGAAACCGTGCTGAACCACCGCTGCACCTGCTTGACAGAGGACATCATCTCCTGCATGGAGTTCGACCATGACGGCGAGCTGCTGGCGACGGGCGACAAGAGCGGCCGCGTGGTGATCTTCCAGCGCGACCCGCAGTCCAAGACGCACAAGCCGCCGCGCGGCGAGTACAACGTCTACAGCACGTTCCAGTCACACACGGCGCGCTTCGACTCGCTCAAGTCGCTCGACATCGAGGCCAAGATCAACAAGATCCGGTGGTTGAAGCGCAAGAACGCCGCGCACTTTCTACTCTCGACGAACGGTGGGTGAACCGGTCACCGCCGGCGAATAACGGCGCACATGATGGTTAGCGTGCTCTAGCGGTCGGACGTAAAATTAAACGGTGGCTTAAAACGAGTGCCTTGCACACTGATCTATGTGTTGGTATTTGTTGTCTTTGCTATGTCCTTTTCTCAAGGTAGGTTCAAAACTGTTATGAAAGTGATACAAATTCAATGCACAGAAGAATGATATTCTGGTCCGGAATGGTGGTTATGCCTATGTACTTTAAACAATGTGTGCCTAAGTATTGACAACACCTCGTCACAATCATTCTGTAATATTTTTGCATGTGCTGTTTTATTGGGGCGAACTTTGATTCCTTGCGATGTCCTCCAGATAAACGTGGCCAGCATTTAGTCTGTCGGCTCTGAACAAGTGTTGAGTAATGTGAGCTGTGGCTGTGGGTAGCCTGTTGCAGTGTATGCCGGGGATCGGGCGTTAGAGTGACATCCGCGGCCGAGCGGGGTCGGTCCTGGGCCGCTGGCGCCGCCTTGCTGACCGTAGTGGCTGTCTGTTGCAGACAAAACGGTGAAGCTATGGAAGGTTTCGGAGCGGGACAAGCGGGAAGTGGGCTTCAACACGCGCGAGGACAGCGGTGTGCTCCGCGACTACTCCAGCATCACTTCGCTCAAGGTGGGCGAAGCTGCCGCCACTGCCATATCATTGGCAGCGACCTTCACCCGTTCGGTGGGGCCTGCTGGGCTAAGGGCCGAGTGGACTGGGCGCTGAGTGACCTGGTGCCATGACTGGGAACGCATCTGCGGCCTGCAGTCGCGGACTTCCTATGCTGTTAAGCTTTGCGCTTGACGAAAACGGTGTTGCGCTACGCAGGCCATGCCGTTGGTGCGTTGTCGAGTGCCCTGCCCCGCGTGAACGCATGTGACGGTACATTTGGTGCATTGCAGACGCGCCCCCGGGTAACACGGCCAATCCGTTGTAGTTCCTGCCGCTGCAAAGCTAGCCCCGAGACCTGTCCGGCCTCCGGCCAGCTCGGCGTGGGAGGGGTGGCCTGGCGGTGCGCCACCTCACGCCGTGCGCTCACGTGCCGCCAGGTTCCGCGGTGGGCGCCGATGCGACTGACGGTGAATGCTTGCCCGCGGCGGAAGTTCCGCAACGCTCACGTGTACCACATCAACTCCATCAGCGTCAACTCGGACCAAGAGACGTTCCTCTCCGCTGACGATCTCCGGATAAACCTCTGGCACCTGGAGGTCAACGACAAAAGCTTCAGTATCCTTTTCCGTCGCTGGATGTCGTTCGTGACGTGAGGAGGGGGATGCTTTCACTTGCTCACTTGTCAGATGCAGCTGGTCGGGTATATGCAGGTAGCTGCCGCCGGCCCGAACTGTGTGCATGGGATTGGGGAATGACGGTTCCCAAAGTGGAAACGGCATTTGGGAAATGGAATGTGCCATTTTCCAACATGACGTCCGCGACGGCGATGGTGGGCAGTTGGGCAGCATTGGCAATGGTGGTGGCAATGGTGAAAGGGTTAATATTTTTTGAAAACCTGCACGAATGGCACGATAATCGCAAGCTTGGTCTAAATTCGCTGCGATGGCGGGCACGTCCGATATATTCGGAAATGTCCTCTTCATTCCAGACCCGTATTCCGTCACCAGCACCTGAATAGCCGGTTGTCTCCGGCTAAAACAGCATACACTGCCAGTGTTGTATCTTCGCACGCCTTTTCCACAGCTCATCTCCTAAGGACAATGAAGGTTCCGAACGCAACGTTGCACACGCATGAACAGACATACCTCAGCAACGCTGCAATTGTCCTGAACCGCGCATTTCAGTGCAGCATTTCAAGCTTCTGCAACTGTATCACGGAACAATTCTACAACAGTAATTGACCCTGGTCAATTGCTGTTGCCCACGTAGAATGCCCAGACAAAAGTGTACCTTGCCGTCCGTGCTACGTGCTGCGCTGTTAGACAGTAATATTAACCTTATTCCTCGGAGAAAAACCAGGGGAATGGAGGTATAGTTGGGTTGATATTTCGGCAGTATGCCTTTATCGAAACAAAAGCAGCAGATTTTGTTAATACCGCTTACCAATACCCAATGCCTCTTCTGCTATTGTTTCGATAAAGCCATGTTGCCGAAATATTAACCGAACTACATCTCCATTCTCCTGGTTTTCCTCCGAGGAATAAGGGCAATACTTTGTCCGTCCCGGTGGCTCAGTTGGTTAGAGCGCCTGCATTCCGACCCACCCATCCGTGGCGGGATGGGTTCGAGTCGCTTTAGGGCGCTCGCTATTTGCCCTTGGCAGGTATGGCCTGCGGCCGGTGGCAGCGGTCGCGCTAAAGGTCAGTTGACGTCAGAGGGCAGGGCGGACCGTGCCGAGCATTGCGGCACGTTAAGCTTTCGCCACTAAATTCTGCCGTTGCCTGGAACTGCGCGATCGGATGGTGGGGGTCAGGGCTCACACAACAAGCACTGCTTAGCGTGAGCGCTGATCCCAGAAATCCATCCATTCAAAGGATTCGGACCAAATTTATAAAAAAAAATACTGCTGTCTTATCTATGTCAATAATGTTCCTCGCTAATGCACTGAACAGCTTCCGTGCTGCACTGTCGTTTGCCTTGACCGCGGCCGCAGACATTGTAGATATCAAGCCGAGCAATATGGAGGAGCTGACGGAGGTGATCACCGCGGCCGAGTTTCACCCCTCCGAATGCAACCTATTCGTGTACAGCAGTAGCAAGGGCACCATTCGGTTATGTGATATGCGACAGGCGGCCCTCTGTGATAACCATGCAAAAAGTGAGTACTGAACGGGGATCGTGTATGCATTAATTTGACGCTCCCTGGCCCCGGCCAGCCGGTCGCGTGTGGTCATTGATGTGCGGGGACTTCTGGTGCCATTTATGTTTAGACAGTGCGACTGGCCTCTGCCTTTTCTACTTAAAAAAAGGATGACAATTACTTCGTCATTGATGCGTGGAGACCCTTCGTGCCATTTATTTTTAGGCTGCGACTGGCCTCTGTCTTTTCTACTTTTTTGTGAAAAAGGATAACAATACGTCATCGATGTGTTGGGCTCCGGCTGCCATTTCTTTCAAGACAGTGCGACTGACCTCTGTCTTGCTCGTTTTTATTTGTTGAATAAGGATAGCAATTCAGTCGGTTTTAAAAAGGGTTGTGGCGTGCAGCTTATAACGTACGTGGAATATAAATCTTAAGCTCGAAAACGTTGATAAAAGTGGCACTCGACAAAAGTTCCCGAATCGCGTTGTTATTTTCTGGCCGGCTGCTTTTTGCAACTTGTTGTTGACTAACGCGAAAGTTTTTCCCTGTCCAATTTGTCAATGCTAAGCGTTGCGTGCACTCCGATTTTAGGGTGCAGGGCTCCGGAAGTTTTCCGCCTTGTGTGCGATGTGCCGCCGGCGAGCAGCGGGTACGTGTCTGATCCGAGTGGTGCTCAGGCGTGCTGAGTGCCGGCCGGATCAGTCGTGTCGCCCTGCCGTCGAGCCGGCTCCCGTGGGACGGCTGGGGGCGGGTCTGAGACGCGTCGCTGCTGGTCTGGGGCCGACGGCTGGTCGGTTAGCGGCCGGTACGCCTGACGAGGTCAGGTCGGCTCCAGCGGGGCGCTTGTGCGCGGCTCTAAAGCGCCTTCGCCGCCGGTCTGGGACCGTCTGCTGGTCAGCCAGCGGCCGGTGCTCCTGACGAGGCCAGGTCGGCTCCAGCGGGGCGGCTGCGCGCGACTCTAAAGCGCCTCCGCCGCCGGTCTGGGACCGTCTGCTGGTCAGCCAGTGGCCGGTGCTGCTGACCAGGTCAGGTCGGCTCCAGCGGGGCGGCTGTGCGCGGATCTAAAGCGCCTTCGCCGCCGGTCTGGGACCGTGCGCTGGCCAGGTAGCGGCCAGTGCTCCTGACGAGGTCAGGTCGGCTCCAGCGAGGCGCCTGTGCGCGGCTCTAAAGCGCCTTCGCCGCCGGTCTGGGACCGTCTGCTGGTCAGCCAGCGGCCGGTGCTCCTGACCAGGTCAGGTCGGCTCCAGCGGGGCGGCTGTGCGCGGCTCTAAAGCGCCTTCGCCGCCGGTCTGAGACCGTGCGCTGGCCAGGTAGCGGCCGGTGCTCCTGACGAGGTCAGGTCGGCTCCAGCAGGGCGGCTGTATGCGGCTCTAAAGCGCCTCCGCCGCCGGCCTGGGACCGTCTGCTGGTCAGCCAGCGGCCGGTGCTCCTTACGGAGCCGGCGGCGGATGGTGTCGCGGACCGACCGCCGCTCCCAAGGGCGCTAGCTGGTAGCCGGGCGACCCGAGCATGGGCGGTCGCGGACAGCAGTTGCGTCGTAGAGTGCTATCGCTGGCCGGTGCCGCGCACTCCACTAGGATTCATCATTAATCTTCAGTGCGATAGGCTCTTGTCGGCGAAAACCGTTATTGCACTACTGTGCTGCTGCACTCCCGAAACACCTGTTGGATACGCTACCAAGGCCGGTAATACAATGGACGATAGCGTGCAACGAGGCCTCCGGGGTTTGCTTTATTGGCAGACAGGAAGGCATGTTCTGGAGTAAAGCCGCGGTAGCTGGAATCCTCGATGCTCAAATATGTTTTCGCGTTCCCGGCAAAGGCGTTCGTGTCGCGCACACATCCGTCGCATGTTTACGGGCGCGGCTGTCAGCGGGGTCACTTCCACGGCTAGTTTGGGAGATGCATGTGTGTTATCGCAGCCACTCCAGCCCTCTTTGAATCGGAGCCGCCGGTAGCATGCGCTGGCCGTGGCGACCGGCGACGCTCGTAGAGGCGTTCTGGCGATGGCTCCATTCGAGCGCTGAGCGTCGAGATTTTGTGGCAGGCGTGCTGTGTGTCTGAGCGTCGGTGACGCGTCCGACTCGGCGTTTCAGTGTTCGAGGGCCCCGAAGACCCGTCCCGAAGCTTCTTCTCCGAGATCATCTCTAGCATCTCCGATGTCAAGTTCTCCAACTCGGGCCGCTACATGATCTCGCGCGACTATCTGTCCGTCAACGTGTGGGACATGAACATGGAGTCGCGGCCGATCGAGACGTACCAGGTGAGTGCCGGGGTCCGCCCGGCCCTCCCGGCGACCTCTGGCCAACCGCCGGGCAACAGGCGCCGGCACAGGCCGTGATGACGGCCGGTGCCGGGTCCCACCGCCTGCCACCCGCCGTCCGCCCGAGCGGGCGAAGCGGCCGAGCAGCACGCCCCAGCCTGTCGGTCTCAGCGGTGTGACGGAACGCTGGATCCTGCTCCAGCTCCCCACGACCCTCCCCCGCCCGTCCGGGTCCAGTAGCAGTCAGTGCCGTCTAGTCCATTGGACGTGCTCCCCCGCACCGGCCGGGCTCCGAGCGTCTCTTGAGCGGAGGTCTGCACCGCCCGTCCTTTTCTGCTGTCGGCTTTCTTCGTCGGCGTTTTTCGTGTCGAGTGTGGTGCCGGCGAAACGGCCGGCGCCAGCGCAGCTGGTCCGTCCCCATCCAGAAGAGCTGCGACGGAAACGGCCTGCCAGTTCAGACACGAAAGGCGCGACGGCTGCGAAATTGCGGCGCAGCGGTGGGAAATGGTCCGTGGCTGTCTTTGCCTCGGGTCGACTTCCCGACCATGATGATGTATGGGCGTCGTATGTTTTATTTTCTCGACACGTTTTCGTTTTACGCTGCATAAGGAAAGCCGCGTGCTTAGACAGTGTGAATAATCGGAAAGGTTTGTTATGTCCCGTGGAACGCCCTCGCACGTGTTCAGGCACTGTATCCATTAATGTCTTGAATGGGTAATAGGTAAATTAAATCGTCAAGGGATCTTCCCGTGTGAGGATGTTGAATCTGCATAATGTTGTCATAGTGTGACGCTGTGACAACAGCATGCAGGTCTGAGATTTTAGAGCGCCAATGGGCACGCGCAAACCGGAGTCGGTGCGTTCATCCTGGCGGGCGTCGTCGAGCCCGGGTCGGTCTCCGTGTGTGTGTGTGTGACTGGTGGCCTTGTCCGAAGCCGAGACCGTCAGTTCATCGGGCGACGCGCAGTACTTCAGGCACACGGTGTGTCTGATGGGTGCTGCCCATGACAAGCCGCCCCTGTCAGTCGTCGGTGGTCAGGTGTACGGCGGCGACCTGCCCATCGCCGGGTCCGTCCTGCCGCGTCGCACTCGTCGGCCCGGTGGCGCGTTGCGGCCGCGTCCCGCAGCTGGCGGCCTCGTCGGCCGGCCATGCCGCCGTGTCCGGCTCGCGCTGTTAGCTCCGCCGTCGGGCGGCAACCTGCCCTCAGCGGTGCACCATTCCGGAGTGGCGCCACTCGTCGCCGCGCGAGGTCTCCAGCCGTGTTCCTCGAATCGTTACGTGTGCTCCCGATGCCGCCGGGGCGCCGCTCCTCGGGCGGCGTAATGCGGCGGCGGTCGTCCTTTCAGTGTTGTCCGATAGCATTAAGAGGTCTCGGGCTGGAAACGCGACGTGTGCATACGGGACGAGGGCGGTGGGTGGCGCGCCGGTCCGTGGTAGCGTCTCTGCCGAGAACGGAAGCCGGTGCGGAGCGCGCCGCTCGGCGGCTGTTGACAGTCCCGGCGGCGGCCGCTGATTTTATGACGTGCAGAGCCGCCGCGGGTAAATTCGCATAGCTGGCCGCCCGCTCCACTTTGCCGCTGTTATCGCAAACATGTTTTGTAGAGGCGCGCCAACTGCGGACAAATTAAAGCGTGTGCTGGTGCAACGCGGTGGGACCGGTGCGCGCGCAGTGGCTCGGCGGCCGGGCCCGGACATCTGGGGCCCGGGGATTTCAGCTCTCATCTGCCGCGGCCGGCATCGATTGGGCACCGCTGGCGTGTGCCGCCGCCCGGCTAGCCGGTGCACTGAACACACCTGGCTCATCCTGCCCCGGGTCTGGGCTCAGCGCTGGGAGTCGGGCGAGCAGCGCCCCGGGGTCACCGCAGGGGTGATCATGACAAAGCGGGAGGGGGAGGAGCTAAGCGCTCAGGAAAGGCAAGGGCGCGACCCGAGCTAAGGAGAGGTGAGTGATCGTTCCCAGCGTGTCAGCGGTGTGGCTGTGAGCCGGCCGTGTACACCATGTGGACGCTGCCCAGCTGCCTGGCGGCGGACGTCTCGATCAGTCATGTGGCACAGAAGCAATGAGTGGGACTGGCACGCAGTTTCGCAGCATTGGAATGGCCCGGCTTACCCTCTGGACGTTTGCGTTTCCTGGTTGAGCGCTGGCGGGAGAGTCTGCAAGGGTGCTGAGTCTGGGCGACTCGCTCTGTCCGCGCCCCGGGCTCTTGGGAGACCAGGCCCATATCCCCGGCGTGTGGCGAGCCGGCGGTGCTGGCGGCTGCCTTTCGGCTCTGGGAGGGCAGCACCTGAGCGCGGCCGAACGGTGGTCAAATCCGAGCCCAGCCGTGTCATTGATCTTTGTGGGAACGACCGGAGAGCCCGCGCTGCATCATAATCGCACGCTCTTTTGCCATCGGACGTGCAGGATGGAATGCCCAGAACACGTCATCGCCGGTATAGACATACTGGTAATGAGGGGATCGACCCTGGAGTTTTGTCCGGCGTGCCCCAGCTTTCTTGCGGTAAACGGCGTCGGAGGTCCTCAGCCGTGCGCTTGCTTTAGGAGTGACGGGTATTGGTATTTGGAGGTGATATTATTCAAGCTGTTGTTTTCGTCGGGTGTGTCAGTAACGCACCAGACTGGGACGATAACCCAAACAACAGACTCCTCCGTAAGTCTCGTACCATTCGCCAGTGCTAATCACAATACTATGGCTGCTGGTAATGCAGTTCCCGTCTGTCCAATTTGGAATGCGTTTTGTGCTGCTCCACCTCTGCCCAAGTTAGTGTTGCTCTGCCTCTCTAATTTTGTGTCGTACCTCCGCCGGATTTGACGCTGCTCAACTTCTACCCGGTTGGGTGCTGTTCCGCCTGTGCCCGGTTCGGTGCTGTCCCACCTTTACCCGGTTCGGTGCTGTTCCGCCTCTACCCGGCGCCAGGGACGACGTTGTTTTGGTGCTATCGGGTTCTTCGCTCTGCGTGGCTGGTAAGTTATAGCGGCTGCTATTGCGGCCCCACGATTTACGCACCATCGATCGATGACAAGATTCGCCATATTGTACTCGGCCGCGTGGCCCTGTGGACTCGTCCACGTACGCTACTGCTGGTCCATTTGTACATATGGTATATTGTGTTTGCTATTAGCGTAGCTTCACAAAGTAAGTTTAAGGGCTGCACCATGACAAATTATGAAACCTACCCCAAAGCTGGTCAACAAACAGATTTCTCGCCAGTTTTGGACCATTTTTCTCACAATTTTCTTGTTTGAGGGGTTGAGGAAGGCTACAACCCAAGTTACGGGCTGAATTCCTCCCCAACTGCATTGGAAACCACGCCTCTGGTATTGCCTGTGATCCCATTTAGACGTCGGCTTTTCTCGCGTTCGTCGTACTGAACGTAAATGCGTATGGAAGGGCGACGGATCGGGAGCCGCCATATTGTACTCGCCCGTGTGGCCGTCCGAAGTCGTTGGTGTGCAGCTGTGTTATTTGTAGGTTATATTTTTGTGTTAATTATTTTGGGAAAGATCCTAGTCATCTCAAAATGTATATATTTAAGGGCATCATGGTGCCACCAGGTTGGTCGTCTTTACCGGTGTAGGGAAGCGATATTTTGCCTTCAGACTTGACAAAAATAATTTGCGATGTAGTTTTCTTTCCATACTGTTCCCTTGTCCCAGGAAAATTAGGTGATGTCGATTGCGAAACCAGTTTCTGAAAACGAACATTCAGGCATTCATTCTTTCTTTAAGACTTGAGAGAATGTTGGTTTTCGAAAGTTCGTCAGTTAACTTCGTCGAGTGTTTAGCTGGCGATACCGCTGTGGGTCTGAATAACTATAAAACTGGGCGAATGACTCGTTTTGATTGCAGTAAAGGACTGGTGTAAATATGCGCGAACATTAACCACAGCCAGCGCGTGTCGAGGTATGTCACAAGAAATGCGACGCACCACTCCAGTGCAGCATGTGGGCCGCTGGCTCGCTCGTCGGTGGTGGCATGTGCGAAATCAGTGGTCACCGTTGGCTGTCTGACGTGTTCAGCGTCCTGACAGTGGGCCAACCAGCTGTATGACACGCCCGTTTGACTTGTAGGTCGCCCTCGACTGCCGGTTCCAGCAGTTTCCTCCCGGCGCCGTGACGCCCATCTCGCTCCGCGAGAGCTCCCCGGACCAATTATTTCCGGCGGCCGCTCAGACTGAGAAGTCGTGCCGCCTGGTGTGCCGCCGGGACTACTGGCACGTGCTGCGATTTCGGTCGGGCGGCGCTAGAGGGTCGCGCGCCGGCCTCGGCGGCCTGTTTTTGCTCCAGTCCGATTACTAATTGGCGGCTCCGAAGTCGGCGCCGGCAGCAGGCCGTCAGCCATTTGGCGGGACGGCGGGCCGCGCCGCCGCCGTCGCGGAGGCAGCGCGGCGGCCGGGCGATGACGCCTCCGAGCCGAATCAAAATGTGCCGAGTGTGACAATGGAGGCCCCTCGGTCGACACGGCGGCGTCCCAAGCCGGGAAAGTTTCGACCTGCTGTCGGTAAAGGAGGCTAGGGCAAACTTGGCGCGCGAGTTGGTGATTGGTGGCGGGGCCGTCCCCGGCGCCCGGGCCGTATCTGAGGGCGATGGCAGTGCAGCTGCTCGTCGGGCGTTGGGAGGCGGCCATCAAGTTCTCTTTGTTTAAGCATGTCGGCTCACTGTTATGAGACAGCGCCTGAAGTGGTCACTTGATGTTATTGCCTGTTTTGGGACAGGCGTTTTAGGCTTAGTGTCAGTTTTTCAAAAGCGCCCGTCGTAAGTGTTGGGGAATGAGCACGTCCTATACACTGGGTGCCTTCGTAAATTGGGCTCCGTGAAAGGGATGGACGGTGATTTTCGCACAAACTTCGCAAGGTAGAGGGAGCTAGCTCCACCCACTGACTTCTCATTGGTGGATTCGGTGCTCTTTCAGGGGCCTGTACGGTGTCGGTGCCTCTCTTTACCGCGAAAAATGCGAACAGCCTTTTACAGCATCACGCTTAAGATTAAAACGATGCCC